CGTACTTGCTTCACAAAATTAGGAAAGAGATATGAATAAGAGGAAAGAAACTTCCGTGATTCCAAGACTAAGCTGACAATGCTATTGGAAGACTTCCAATTTTTTTTATTTTTATTTTTTTATTATTATTTTTCTTAAATTTAAACTAAATTCGTCAACTAAAAGTTTTTAAAGATTCAGAAGCCTATTGCTCAGTCAGTGTGAAAAACAACACTTCCGACAGAAGAATCCCACTGTCAGAATCCCATTGCTTATCTTCAGGAAGTCACTAAAGATCCACTATTTCAGTGTACTGCATACATGCCATTAACACTAATAAAAAGATTGATTTTTTAAAAGTTACATTTACTAAATGTCTACACCCATTATTCTAACAGTTAAAAAGCAAACTGAAGCATTTGTTTGCAGAAGTTATGCAATTTTTGAGGAACTTTTAACAAATATTATAAACAAACTAACTAAAGTTTGTGACTCGAGATATACCTGTTGGCCATCATTTAAAAAATTTTAGATATTCTTTATGGTCCATAAAGAAGTCTCAAAAAATGCATAGAAAGTTATGCCAACAAAAACAGAAAGAATAGTTAAGTAAAACATTCAGCATTCATGAATGGACAGTTTAGGAAATCATGAATCGATTCTTTTCTCCCTTAGCTCCAAAATGCCAGCTAAAGGTTAATGTTATTTAAGAGAGCTGCATTCAGAACCCAGGATATGCAACAGCAGGAGAAGCCTGCTTGGCTTTTGTCAGAAATAAATCTTTCAGGCACATATCTGTCCAGTCATATCTGAACAGAATGTTCTGAAACAAAGGAAAAGTTACACCAGCCAGTCTGATCTGCAGTCTGATCATTAAAAGATAAACAGCACTTCTCAGCATAAATCAGTCAATTATACAATGTGTATGATTTTTTTCCCCTCCATTAATGAAATGCTTGAACTTTCATGCTGCTATGCTGGTAAGAATGGATATAATTTTCTCACAACTACTTCAGAAAGTACACTCATTTTAATGGAAATGTGCAATATTTCACTGCCCATGGGAGTTCTCTGGCACATATCTTGAATAGGATTCATCATTTTCCATCGATATTATCTACATGTAGCTATACTTCATTATAGTTAATAAAGAACTTGTCAGTAAGATGGATACAATAGATTTTGGCTAGATGGATGTAAAAATCTATCAGAGAAATCCTGTCCTAAAATATGAAGACACTCTTAGACTGATAAAAGAGGTACCATGTTATCCACTCAGTTAAACGTATATTGCAAGTAGGTTAAGCTTTCAGATTTGGACATTCTCCTCCTTTCCATAAGAATGAGTAAATAAAAAAAAGACATTTACTTATATGTCAATTAAGGTTCTTTGACACTTTAATTCAAAAACCACTCTTTCCTGTTCTTATGCTTCTCACAAGCTTCCTTTCAGATGGTGGCTTCTTTGGTCTGGAAGATGTTTACAAAGCTTTGACAACAAATATTCAACAATCTCCAATATCTTTTACATGCCTCCAGTTTGACTCACAAACACAGACATCTGCATAGGCAAAGAACAGAACACACTGTGCAATCTGCTAAGAGAGATATGGTTCTGCTGAATCGCCTCATTTCTCCATCTCTTCATCAGTGGCTGCACAGTTATGTTCAAATACAGGCTAGAACAAAAAGACTGAAAATAGGTATAGACTGTACTATTCCCTCTCCTTGCTCTTCTGATCCAGCAGCTCTGCAGTCCTGTGAATGAGGTGCCACTACCAAGCAAATACCCTCCAAAGCCAGACTGAAATGTGGACTTGAGGGCTGAAGGGCTTGTGAGTATACACATCTGGCAAGGCAGTTAACACTGTTAACTGAAGTCTACACTGTTGCACCTCACATTTTATCTGATGAGTGGATATAGCCTGAGTGGATATTGCAAGACATTTGTCAGTAACGAACAAGTCATGGCCACCATATCTCATCTACAGCTTTTATTTAAATTAAAAGAAATCCATACACAAACCACTACATCAAAAGATAATAATTTTTTAAAAAATAAAAGTTGAACATCCAAAAATAAATAAATAGCAGAACACGATTTGCTTACCTGTGTCTATCACAACCTGCGCAGACTATAATGGGATACTTTTGTTCCCACACAGCATCTTTTATTACATGCGAAATACCAGTTTCCCTAATTTTTCCACAGTTTTCTGGGGTTCAGAAGGCCAGAACATTTTGCTGTTATTTCAGAAACTTAAAACCTACCCAAGTATTTCCAGATCTCTAGGTATGATCCATTTTCCAACATACACCTTCCAGAAACACATTTACTACAGCTGAACGTTTTTACCACCAAATATTTCTTCTATGAAGGGATTTATGCATTTTGCACCTAGTAATATAGTTGTTGGTAAAATAAACAGGTTTTCTGGAAAATTTCATCAAGCATTATTTATATGACCTTTTTCTACATCTTCTATTATTCTGCACCCTTTTAAATTATTAACATCAATCACCAGGAATTCTTTCAGTATCAGTGTCACAGACTAAGGAACATAGCTCTCAACCTTTCTAGTAATAGATGCCTTTCAGACCTTCCTGCACTACTTCACAGCCAAGGACAAAACTACTCTGTCACACCAGAAACACAGAAGTTACTTTGTTTGCCCTGACTCCCTATGTCCTCTTTAGTACTTTCACCAGTCAAGGATCCAGGAAACTTCCATAAATATGGCCTTCATTTCTTATTTCTAGATACATCATTTTGACTTTGGTTATATTTATATTGAGTCATACGCTGTCTGCATAAACTCATATTACCAACAAGTCTAAAATATTTCCAGGACTGATCTTTTCTGCAGGTTTCATAAACAGAAACTTAAAGTAAGGCTACTGAAGAAGACATAAAATATCTGTATCTTTCAACAGAAACACCACAATACTTCAACATTCTCCCTTCCTTTTTTCTGAAGTGTGACCACAAGTTTTTAAACCCACTTCATTGATTTTTCTTCATACTGTGTGCTAACATGGAGACTCCATTAAGTGTCTGAACAAAGTCTAACTTCTCTACTCATCTTTGTCAAATATTTTTTGCAAATCATAATTATTAGACCTGAGGTACCCTGCAGACTTTTAAATGACCAGTTTCTATACAATGATCTTTTAGCAACAAATTTTCAAAGCAAGTTCAGTTTTAACCATAAAGAACCAGTGAGCCAACTCTGGAAGATAAACTTAAGAGTAAAATAAGTAAACCTATTAAAATTGCCAGATGGGGACAACAAATTGTATCACTTAAGACTGATTAACATCTTATCTTGTAATTATGCTTTAAAGGAGGAATCAGCTCAGTAAAAAAAAGGTTAGGTAAGCAAGGAATATTTTCAAATTAAAATTTCTGCACAAGAAATAGAAAAACATCTAGGAGATGCTGTAAGTAAATTATTGACAAGAAGAAGAATCTTTTTTTAAAAAGAGTGAGGACTTTGTTTCTTTGTTTATTAGTGAGTATAGACAGCAAAATCCTAACAAAACCAACAAAATTTCATGAGGTGGAGAAGAAATACACATGAAATATAATGGAGCAAGCAATGCATCTAATAAAAACAAATAAAGCTTTACAATCATTTGTTTCTACCTGCTATGAACCCCACAGTTCAAACAAAAGAAAATTAAGCACTTATTTTTATTCAAAAGTTCCTACTTTTTCTCTGGAATGACAAGAAAAAATGACTGGGATTTTCATAAAAAGAAAAAGATGGCTTAGAGAATGTTTCTAAAATGTGCATAGAAGGCACTTCAATTAAAAATTTGGCTTCAAACATAGACTAAGCTTGCTATTATTTAAGAATTGAAACCACATTTTAAATTACTGTTATTCTCTTTGAGTTTACAAATTCAATCTAGCTATTTTACAGTCAAACACGTTCCTTGGCATGCCACTTAAAGTGATGATTTCAGGGTTATTTCCCTTGATATTCTTCTACAGAGTGGTGAATTAACAAGATGTTAGTTCCAGAAAAAATAAGATAAAGAACTGACAAATTCATTCCAAAAGACTAGCATTATCATTATATTCTTAGACAAGCATGAAGTTTGGCAAGTAGAAATTGTCTAGCATCAGAGAGATACCTCTTGACCTACACAAAACAAGAACAGAACACTTAGAAATATAATAAAGGTTTTAAAAAGTCACAAATTATGCAATTCCCAAGAGAGAGAGTAAATGGAGAGCTCTGATCAAAGATTGCTTTACACCAATTATTCTCCACCTCATGTGTCAGATTAATTAGGCAGGTGCTATCCTGCCAGCAGGAGAAGCTTTGCTACAACAGCCAAGCACACACATTCCTATTCCTGGCAGTTGCTGCCCTCACTGTCAAGTGCACCTGGAGCAGCCATTCCCTGTGCTCCTGGGGCTGCCTCCACAACAGGGGGAGTTGTGGAGGAAGGAAATAAATTGTTAGACTGAAATTGCATGTAAGGAATCAGAAAATAAAATGTTAAAAAATAGGATTGGAAGGAGGAGGAGGACTGTGAATGACACCAATATTGGGTTGCAACTGCTGAATCCCACCTAAAATGATGTTGTAAGATCTGTAAAAAGTGTCATATACCATCAGAACACACCCTTCCAGTATCACAGTCTACTAAAGTAAGTTCTCAAGTCCAAAATTCTGTAAAATTTTTCCAGATATTTTTTCTATTTGCTTGAAACATGAATGAAATTTTGCTCCCAGACAAATTTCTCTCAATATTAAAGCCAGATTAAATACTGAATTCTGTATCAGCATTTAAAATGTTATTGCTATGGTTATAACGCTGTCACAGTTGAATTTTGCACTTACTAAATAAAACAATTCTAGTAGCCCAAATATTATATCAGTGGAAAATTTTAGAGAAGAATACTGTATAGGAATCTGTCCCAGGACACTGCACATTAGTTTTAAAAAAAGAAAAATAAAGCCCAGTTTCAAAAGCTTGCAGTTTGAGAAAACAAAATCTTTAATTACCTCACCTCAGATTTCTGAGCACGTAAAACATGCCGCTTCTGGTTCTCTCCCTACACAATACCATGCATTGCGTTCTTGGCTGCTGTTCCTCAGCCACATTCAGGTGTGCTCTGCAAAAAACTGTAGAGAGATGAACACAATCTGAAAACAAAGCAACTTTTCTGAAAACTGCATAGATCTTATTAATAATGCAGCTGCAAGACAGGATTACAATATGATGTTTTTTTGAATATATGGGGAGTCTGAGTTAATAATAAAAGAATAAATGTTCCTACTCCAGTAAAATAATCAGAAAGAACCAAGAATCTGTAGAACTAAGGGAGGGGCCATATTCCCCCTGCTCAAATTTAGAAAAGAACCAGTTAAGAAGGGCTGTGCAATGTCTTTTCATCCTTGGGAGACAATTCCATAATTTAATATATCATTTGGTAATGGCTTGAATACCTTTCACTTTTAGTAAGTATCCATTACATAACTTCTCTCCACTTTCTTTAATTACCTCACTAAGTACATTGGTATTTGCTCTTATAGCAGCACTATTAGAGCTGCAGGGCACAAGAAATAAAACTGAGGAGAAAAAAAAATAATAAAACATTGTCTTTTCCATTTAATAAGTTCCCTTTTTTATGGAAACATTTGTATTAGTAGATACTATTTCAACTTTGTAAGATAATAAATCACATGAGCCTTGTATTATTAAAGCCGACTGAACTGCCAGAGAGAAGCATCATCACTCACCAACGGCACAACTTGCCTTTAAGCCTTACTCATTCTACTCTATTTCTGAGGAGTCATTTTGCTGTGGAAAATATCATTCAAAACATAGAAGCGGTGATGAGTAAGAAATCATTCTGATCAAAGCTTTTTATTTAGGAAATAAGTCATGAATTTATTCTATTATCCTACACTGCTAACTAATCCAGACATATTTCTGTGGGGGAAAATAAGAAGGAAAACTTCAAATAAAATTAATTTAGAAATCTGTGAATTATCACACATTCTTAGAAACAACTTCCAAGTTTCAAGGTGCTTTGTTTTTCAGCAGCCTGAATACTTAAGAATACATCCAGGATAAAATAGGAAAGATAGTTAAGTTGCTTATTACATTAACATGAAACCATGTATTCTGAGTAGTACGCATACAACAGAGAGCAAGATAAAAAGCAATGAGGAGCACCAATGAATTCACCATTGGCCATCATTACTGAAAAGGCAATTTCAAATCACTGGTTGCTGCACCATTAGTGCCAGCTGTGCAAAAGCTCCCATCCCTCTGGGGTAGGCTGTGATGTATCAGAAACCTGAGATCTTAAATATACCGACAAAGAAAGTAAAGGAGAATCATTTTGATTACCCTTTTTGTCAAAGACTTGATTTTGTAATAGTAATAACAATTTCCTATTTATGTAAATAAGTTATCCAGGAGAACCTCATTATAATCCTTTCTGGCATCTGACTGGAACAATCCTATTCCAGGCTTTCTGCCACACTCATTAAGTCATTAAGACTTTTCTCCTTTCAGTGAAAAACATTTCTGTTGAGATCTTTTGGAACCATCCCTGTTTTTCACTGTGGAGCAAAGCTAAGGCAACTACTTAAAAGAAAAAAAAAAAAAAAAAAAAAAAAAAAAGAGAAAAAAAATCGCTATTCTAGAAGCATAAAAGCATTCTGTAGCATGGACTAATGGTCTGTACAGGTTTTGGTGCCAAATTTTAGATATTAACCAATGCTTTACAGGATTTATTCTAAAAGTTCCTCGCCTACACAAAGTAGGCCATGTATATGGGAAAAGTTCTTCCATGGTTTAAGAGTAGTATATGATTAATACCCATGTTGTAAGGTCTTATGCTTTTAATCAAATTTTGAGTTCTCCTTGTGACTTCATTATGTCACCACAGTAATTATCTAGGAAAAACTCTGAGCTTCTACTAACATACAAGTTTCCCTGGGGTGCCTATTTGCATTGCTTGAGAAGGATTCTGAGGACAAAGAAATGCAACTCACTCAAGCTGTTTATCCACACAGATCCAGAGCAAATACACACATTGTGAAGACTCAGTTAAGCACCATAACACACAAATCACACCAATATGAAGAAAATAAAATTATTATACAGCTTTGATAAATCTTAATCTAACTTCCCGTTCTTGTCAATAATGAAATTAGCAATAACGAAGAGATTGGGCACAGCTGCCAGTTCCTCCCATTTGGTGGAGAAATATTTCTTTCCTTTCTGAAAAATTAAACATTTCATTCCCAAGGACAGACACATGCCAGTGGTTAATTAGGGGATATTTTACAAGAAGAAATAAAATTTATCATCAGCACAGCAGGCAAATATTGACATTTTTACAAGCATAGACATGCTACAATTAAATTTTGAGTTGCAAGGCTCCTGAAAGCAGCTGCCTCCCCAGGAAGCCGGGAATCCCAACACTTACTGCCAACCCCAGTTTCCTGATATTTATTCAAACTGGCAAGAAACATTCTTCTTACATTGCTTTCAAATATTTGACAGCCTAGCCATCCATTAAATGCATCACACTGAGGTACTGCTGTATCACTACATAATTCTTCCTGCCAGCTAGCAAAAAAATAATATGATGTGCAGGATGCTGGGGGGGTTCCCAGTTCCCATAGCACTGGCTCATAGGTCCAGAAGGGGGAAAGGGAGAGTAAAAGCCAGAAGGGTGAAGGCACAGGACTGATGGGAGAAGGACAGTAACAGATTACACTGGTTAATGGATACTCTTCACTGAGAACCTGGAGAGCAGGGTTAGCTACTGAGTGGGTAACAAATAGAAATCTGTAGCAAGCATTGATGCAGTAACTTGCCAGAAGTCTGGGCGCGAGTAACATCACCTGCCACATGCTCACAGGGAAAAAGAGTAATCGGGAATAATCAAAATACAGCAATTTATCAATAAAACTCCCAAAATGCCATTTCTTCTCCTTTCCCAGAATTCCTACAAAGTAAAATCCATGCTAGCTATGTTAATTGCATAAGTATAATTCAGTAATGCCATCTTCCTGAAGGGAAAAATGGAGTCACAACCATTGAAACGGATATATGTATATATAATCATCACACATATATATGTTTATTATACACATACACACATATATAACAGGTCATTCAATTACAGAAGCAATTAAAGAGGACAAAAGGCAGACAAAGCTCCTTGTCTAGAACACCTCCCCTCACAGAAGATGGCTGGCTAGGGAGGAGGTGGCAGGGGTTAATTACCATCTGGAACCCAAATTCTTTCTTTTTGACAATTTACAATGTAAATCTGTTTAAGCAACATAATTTTAACTAAGCACCTAATTTTTACTAAACTTCCACTTCCCTCATTTTTAAGTTTTTCTATGGGTAGTCTTAAAAAACATGTTTTTTGATTTACATACCACTAACCAGTCAGAGGATAAAAACAAAAAGTGTCAGAAACCAAATATTTAACATAACCACGTTCAGTTTCACAGCTGTGGTATTCTGTTCAAGACATTGTTCTTTGCAACACAATGAAAAAATGAAATCTTCCATATAATTGGAAATCGGCACATGCTCCAATCACTGTAAAGCATGTGTAATTTCTTTTAGTAAAAGAAAGTCACCTTCAGTGAACACCATTTCAGCTTTTCAGAGGCAAGTCTCAGTCAGTCTGGAGGTGGTGTAAGACATAGCACACCCAGGTGCTTACCAGTCTCCTCTCACTGGGCCCTCTTCACACTGAGATACCAACTGAGGGCAGAGACATCAGTGAATAACACAGAACTTTATCTTGTTAACCAACAGATCTTTCAATTCTGAGGTTTCTAAATGCTCTTTCACTTTTGCCTAATGTTCAGATAATGTTTTCAGACTCCATATGTCCATCAAGCTGATACTTCCATGAAGCTTTAGCTAAAACAGACCAGCTAATTAGACTCAAGAAAAAAATTATTGTTTTTTGTAATTTGACACATTTTCTGAATGCTCAACTTTGTAAGCTCATTGTCACTTAATTCTTATAGCCAAGAACTTTCCTTGAAACATATAAATGCTGATTAGACAGGGCAAAATTATTAGCTGGAGAACGTGGAAGAAAAATTTTCTATGTACCACTGCAATAACTCCGCACAGAAATCGAGCAAAACGTTCTCATGTTTATTCTGTGGTTAATTTGTGTTTCATGTGATGTTATGATACTGGGAATTGTATAAAACAACACTGCTTATTCAACATAGTTTGTTCAACACATTTATCACCTTGTCTTCTCTATTAGTAATTTCAGGTGATAGTAAGAAATAATAAAAACGCCCCCTAATCCTGTCCAGTTTCTCAGCTATTGGTTTAGAAGCAATATTAAGCTCATTGTATACTCTTCCTGGCAGGAAGTTAAACCTTTTAAAATACTGATGTTTGTCAGTACTCAATAGGTCAAAAGAAATAATTGCTCATACCATCACAGACTTCTGGGATAGAGGGAAAAAATATCCCAAAATCCTTTTGTGATATAATTAATGATGTACGTTAACGACCAAGGGAAGTTCATTAGAACTTACGTTAAAACACAAAGCAGACTTCAGTATTTAAAAATGTTATCATTGAAGTGAAGCATAGAGTATGTTTGTTTAAAAAGGGAAAATATTTAAAATAAAATATATATATTCCACTTCTCTATTATGTTGAAGTGAAATGGAAAATAACATGTAGATGCAATCTTTTGTCCTTTTCAAGTCCATGGCCAAATTAGGAAGTGCTACCACATACAGTGAAGAATATGAAGCATGGGGAAGGTCCTCTGGGTTTGCTGTTCACCTGTCTCTTTTCAGTAGTAACAAACTCTCATTTCCTCAATTAATACCTGCCACAATCTGTAAACTGACATTACACCTCCGTTCCTACTATTTGGTTTGACCTTGCTATCGTGTACTAGAATATAATTATGATAATGAACCAATTATTCTTATACAATACAGCAATCAAAAAGACTACCACTTCATTTTCTCATGACAATATCTGAAAATTCTAGTTTCATTTCATCATCCATTATTCGCATGCCATCATCAAGATGTCGTTATATAATTAACTTAGTTTTACAAAATTAAAAAAATAATAATAAATGGAAAACACTGAGGTTTTAGAATAATCATGACAGCACACAGGATGTCTGATTTATATAGGACAGTAAACAAATATTTCAGTATTTGGAATATTTTACAGGTTATAATCTTATAAATTTTGAATGACAACACATCTGCCTCTTAGGATAACCAACTGTTAATGTTACACTTTCACATACATGGCATATTTTGCTTGAAACCCCTCCAGAATTGAGTAGTTTTAGCTCTTTACAGCCTTCTGATTATGAAAATAAAATGTCCAGCTTATTATGAGCCTGGATGTGTCATACATAGCAGAAAAAAAGTCAATTAAAGTGATTTGAATAGGTTTTCACTCATTGAAAATCAGAAGTTAAAAAAAAAAAAAAAAAAGTCATTCAGATTGCTGACTCTGTTAAGATACCGACTTCCCAAAATACTCCTGGCTTTGTCCCTTGTAACGTCAATGAATATAAAGATGTTATAATTACAAAATAAACAAGAGAATTTGGCTAAGCAGGTTATAGGAACAGAAAGAGAATAGATAGGACACTTACCCACACCCTGGGCTTGCTGCAAAACTCCAGAGGAGAGATCTCTTCTGGAGATCCCTCCCCACTGTAGTCAGCTCTTAAATGGGTCTAGGAGAGGTGCAGCCAGGCTCCACCCCTTCCAGCAGCACAGGTGAATTGCCTTCACCTGTGCTCCCAGGGCTGACTCAGTGCTCACCTCAGGTGATCAATCGGAGGTTCAGTTCCCATACAGTCCCTAAAGAATGTGATTTTTAATCACTTTATGATATTTTAGATAGCAGAATCTTTCATCTCCTGATTCAAAATGAATCTTTCCAGCATTGGTCACCATTGGATTTATGACCAAACCACACAGATGCAGAAGTTGCTGAAGGAAGGAACATTTTCTTGCTGCCATGACTACATTTTTAGTCAAAGCTAAGTTTCCCTGGGATAGATTCATCTGTGATGAACTGTGGCAATAATCGATTTTTGACTTGAGACAACCTAAGTGCACAATAGCCAGTTACCTATTGCTGTCTAGGAATGGTCTTTTTTACTCATACATATTTATAACTGGAACAAAAGTATAAATCTGAAACTTTCTACATTTAATTTAGACAAATTGCAGTTTACTGTAGTCCCCATAAGAATTCTGTCTGCTTTCTTAGTCTACCTGTAAAACTACTTAATGCAAGCACTGTAATTCTGTAAATCATGTATCTGTTAAGCAAAAATAACTGCCACTGATTAAAAAGTTTCAAATATTCTGCAATAAACATCCAAAATAGAGACAAATATTCTATACAGAATTCCTCCAGGTCTGAAAGGTTGTAAGTAATAGAAGCTAAACTTACCTTTCTGCCACAGAAAACATTCATTCTCCGCAATTAATTGTGAACTTTACAAATGACATGATTCCACTATTACAACTTTTGTAGGGGCAACCTGTGTACAGTGAATTCAGAAGAAACCTGCAAATAAGGAGATAAAAGGTCAAAAGGCAAAAATCAATCATATTACTTTATAAGTCCCTCCAACAGATGACTAAGAAGAGTCAGTCAGGGTACCAATGAACAGAGCATTGTGATGATGAACAGTCAATAATAAATTCAATATTGATATCCCCAAGTATGTAGGAACATCAGCATATTTTAATGGCTCCCTCTTTTCCAAGTTGACTTTGCCATACATACCACTGGATGCTTTCTAATTTCCCTGAATGGCTCAATATTCTAGCCTGCAGAGCTTAATCATGTCTGGAAGGTCATTCCACACATTTTTTTGTGAATGTGAGAAATTGCTGCCAGGCATCTGTTTTTAAAAAATTTTTCCTCCCTTTCTTTTTTCTATTTATGCCATCTGATCACATTACTTATATCCATCTCATAGCTCTAATTTAAAAGGACATTCCTCTGAATCATGGCTTAGTCTTGCCCATACATTTCCAGATATGTTGAAAGAGAATATGATTTTCAGTCTGAGGTTAAGCTAACGAAAAGTTAAAAAGTATGCTACCTGTTAGCTATTGCTACAACATATGAGTAAGAGTACATCTTTATAGAGGCTTATTAAAATAGAAAAAACATCCAACTTGGAGACAGATGAACTGGCTCAGGTAACCAATCAATATAAACTGAACCCAATATGTTAAATATAATGAATTCTACGGGCTGAACTATTCTGCATTAATACAATGACAACTCCAACTTGGCTAGGAGATAAGTCCAGTAAACAAAATGCTAACTGTCACTGTTACAGATTCTCTTCTACTCCATTTTTTCCATGTTACTTGCAAGATCTAGCCCATTCCATTCCTTTACTGAAGTTTAGAAACATCCTCAGCCTTGCTGCCTCAAGTTTTAAGCTACAGGATTCTACCAATTTGAACTTAAATAAAAATAAAAATAAAAAGAGATGCATACAAGTCAGAGAACATACGTCCTTTGCACCCTCATGTAGTCTTCTTGTTTCTTTGAGATTAAAGTCACTTAAAAGCTTTGATTTTTTTACACCAAATTGACAATTTCCTCCGCCCACCCCCATAACACTGTGTCATAAGAAAAAGTTACTGGTGTCAAGAGCGGTGCCATCAGATCAGATAATTTTTGCTGAAAGGCCAACGAGAATGATACCTCTATGTATACTATTTATGTGATAATTTGGCAAAGAATTGAGGGTTTCTTTTTGACTGTTGTCACACCTTTCTAATCTGAATTATTCTTTATTATTTTATAATACTGTTTTATTTGAAGTCTCAAAATGGCAAAGCAGCTTTACTTTTTTCTTCACAAAGAATAAGCAGCCTTCTGGTACTATCAGGAAATAATGCTGCCTGTGTATCAGTATGCCATCAGCTCACAAGCAGGGGAGACCTGGAGCAATTACCCACTTTTAAGAGAGAGTGACATATCCTTTTCCTTTATTTGACTTTATTTGTGTTATGAGATAGATACATCTGTAAGCAGTAAAACTCTCTCAGTAACAGAAAGAAGTGGAAATCTACTTTCTAAGCATTAAGACTCTAAATGTTTAATATAGAGAACTTTAGTTCAGGCTGTGTGAGTACTAGTAACAAAAAAAAAAAAAGCACAACTAAAACATCCATAGTTTAAAGTTAATATTTACTTTTTGTCTCATAATTGACAACCCTTTAAAGTAACCATCAAAAGAGTGTCAGATGAATCTCACTAAAAAGCTGGTTGTATACAAATAAGTTCATTTCAGTAATATGTACAGAATGGTCAGAAGTAAAACAGATCTCTGCTCTGTATAGCCATTTTAGATGAATCTGATAACATGAGTTTGTCATGAGGCTGATACTTCAAATTCAGCTTTCAGCTTGAAACAAATTTTTACACTCTGAGGAAAGGAATTATAATAAAATGCTGACATGTCCTTACAATATCGAATTGTTTCTGCCAGAGGATAGATTTCCTATTCTTGGCATTTCAAAATAAGTGAATTTACATTTTAAGAATGAGATACTATTCACATTCAGTAACTGTAAATCTTTATGGCTTTTTCTATTTGATGAAAGTGAAATAAGTATCAACAAGCAAAAGTTCAGACTCTCACCCCCTCCTCAAAGTTGAAATACTACGAGGCCAATAAGGTTTATCAAGCCTCACGTGAGGGCTGCATTTGAAGAACATTATCCCTCTCAAAAGGAGAAATATGCTTAATCCTGTGACTCATAATCCTAAACCTTATATTTTAAGTGTAACTCTAGTGATTTAATGCACCTCATAGCAGATAAAAGTTCTTCTCAACACTCATAACTTAGTTTCTTTAAATTTTCAAGAATAAAAAAAACAGTTCCAATCTTCCAACAATTATAGATTCATATAATGGTTTGGTTTGAAAGGGATCTTTAAAATCATCTAATTCCAACTGCTCTGCTATAGGCAGGGACAATTCCCACTAGACCAGGTTGCTCAAAGCCCCATCTAGCCTGACCTTGAATGCCTCCAGGTAAGGGGCATTCACAACATGTTCCAGTGTCTCACCACCCTCACAATAAAGAATTTCTTCCTAACATCTGGTCTAAATCTGTTCTCTTCCAGTTTAAAACCATTTCCCCTTGACCTATCACTGCATGCCCTCTTAAAAAGTCCTTCCCCAGCTTTCCTGTAGGCCCCTTGCTGGTACTGGAAGGCCACTATAAGATCCTCCCACAAGCTTTTCTTCTCCTGAAAAGAAGCAGCTCCTTGGGTCTGAAGAGCCCCAACTCTCCCAGCCTGTCCTTGTATGGGAGATGCTCCAGCCCTCTGATCATCTTCATGGCCCTCCTCTGGATCTCCTCCAACACTTCTATGTCTTTCTTGTGTTGGGAGCCCCAGAACCGGATGCAATACTCCAAGCTGGGACTCACAAGAGCAGAGTAGAGGGGCAGAATCACCTCCCTCGATCTGCTAGTCACACTTCTCTTGATGTAACCCAGAATACAGTTGGCCTTCTGGGCTGCAGGCTTACACTGCTGACTTGTGTTGAGTCTTTCATCAAACCAACACTCCCAAATTCTTCTCTTCAAGGCTGCTCTCAAGACATTCTCCGCCCAACCTGTATCTGTGCTTGGGATTGCCTAAACCCAGGTACAGGATCTTATAAATAGCAGTGCCACTAAAAGCGTACAAAAGATACACATATTCAGTTACAGGCCAGCTTTTCCCACCATTTATAAAAGAATCTGCAACACACTGAAGAAGTAAACATGCATACACTTGAAATTTAGGAAGATGAATGAACATGAATCCCATTATTTGACTTTCAAATAGAAACCTGAGTATCAGAATGAAGTCATAGTTGACTCCTGAACATAAGGATTTCAATCCTACTTATTGTTTTGTTCCTTCTGTGTAAAATCCTGAACTCCACTACCTCATAGTTTCATAGCATTCAAGGCTGCTCCCAGCCTTTATATTCCCAAACAGTTCTTCATTGTTTGTACCAACAAATGTAATAGATTGTACCAACATATCCAGTAACACACCTCTCCTCATTGATTCTTCCACCACCTGCATCAGCATGTTATCTTCCACACACAGCAGGCACCTCCTGGACTGCGTGCACCTGGCAGCATTGTTTTTCCAGCAAAAGTCAGAGCAGTTGAAGTCTCCCATGAGAACCAGTGCCTGTGATCATGAAGCTACTTTCAGCTGTCTGTAGAAGGCCTCATCAACTTCCTCCTTCCGATCAGGCAGCCTGCAGCAAACACTCACAGTAGCCTGCCCCTTACTTCCCACCCATAAACTCTACACTTATTTGTCATACATCCCTTGGTAGAGCTCTATACATTCCAGTTGTTCTCCCACATAAAAAGCAACTACAGCACCTTGCCTTACCATCCTGTCTTTCCTAAAAAGCACATAGCCATCCATGGCAGCTTTCCAGTCACATGAGCTGTCCCATCACGTCTCCATGATCACAATGCCATTTGCCTGTTTGTTTAAATAAAATGAGTAAAATACTTTACATATGAAAGTGAGAGTCACTACCTCCTATTATTATTATTTGGAGCAGGTGAAAAGGCAAACACCAGTGACAGTAACGTGAAAATTTACAAACATCACTATTCCAATTATTTGAAGGGCCACCATGGATAAATGAAAAGGGCAGCCATCCTCGTTCAGCCTCAGCTTTCACAATGAGCATTTTATTGAAATTCCCCTTTTCTTTATTCTTTTCAATACTTCTAAAGAATGAAGGTATGAAATATTTAATTCCGATACCTTCTCATTTCCTGACATCATTACAATTCAAGATGACTATCTAGTCTGCTTTGTATCTGTTTTTGATGCCACTGAATAGCTGGTTTCAGGGAAGAGCAGCAACATTTCTGTGAAAAACAATTCTTTCATATTTTACAATTGACAGAAAAGGAAAAAAAAAAAAACATTTATTTTTAATCTATTTATGGAGATTGTCCTCCATAAAATATCACTCTTTGCACTGCAGTTTCAGTACAATTTTAAATGCATCAAAGACTTGGACTATAACTTAAATTTACTAAATACACATTAATTAATTCTAATGACATTAAAATTATCTCCTATTTTGGTGTGATGACAAAATGTACAAAAAGCTATTTATTCTTACCAGATTTTTTTCATATTAATTATAGAAGGATCTTACATGATTAAATTTCACAGTAGTGTTCCACATGGAGATCAAAACAAGACCTTCTATAGAACAGTCACTTGAACTCACTAAAAAAAATTAGTTTTTAAACACAAGGTAATAGCTAAAACAAATTTGCTTTAAGACGTGGCTATTAGCAGATAGGGTACAGTTATTCAATTTATGTTTGGATCTTATTTCCTTCTAGATTTCAGTGCTTCAACAAGGTACTAATTACCAAGTCCTAGAACTATTTTTATTTCTCTTGATGCCTTTAAAATCTAACTAAAGGGATAATGAAGGGTTACATGTTGACATGTGGCTATACTGAGCATTAATTAGCTATGTGTATGCATACACACAGAAGCAGTGTTCTAACAATATGTTTATCATAGTAAGAGCAATCTCCCTTTGTTATTACAGACCCATTAGTAGACTGCTGCAAATTTATATCTCAAAGGACATGTAAAAGTTAACAACACACTGCAACTGCGTCCATTTAACAAAAAGCCTGGTTCACTTTGTTCTCAATCCACCTTTGGTCCTGACAGCAATTTAAAACCAAACAAGTTGTGCAAATCACCCTCATGATGTGCATGCAGGAAAAAAAAAAAAATCACAAAATTTTCATTGTCTTTTTTTATCCATTGATTGGCATTTGTGCATACAGGATTTAATGGTTTCCCCATGTAGAACTGAAAGTATAAAACCTATGCAAACCTGGAAGCACATGCTCATTAAATGGTAAACTAAAACATTCCGATACACTTACGCTCCGGAAAGTGAGAGTAGACTTTTTAGACAACGTACAGGGATTTAACTATAGAATTCATTAAAATGAATTAAAGTCATGCTGCTAAAATTTACTATCATTGAGAAGTTATCATGAAAACACATCTAATAAAATTTTAATATGAATTGTGGTGCCTGAATATTTTGAATAGTCACTGGAGACAAAAAGTGTTCTAAGGCTACACCATAAAGCTGAAGGACAAACACAGAGCTTTGCAATATGTGTGTCCAGTAATCACAGCAATATCTTACGTGTGATTTACAAATATCTAATTACTGGTGTTCTGTCCTTTATTTAATTTATTTTGACCACTTAAACTGACTCAGAAGTGCCTATCCCTATTTGCATTTTAATGAATAATAATTGATATTTATTCAGCACATTCTATTTGCATCTCAAAGCTTAATTTAGAGATTAATACATCTTATAACCTAAACCAAACTATTGATAGATATTCAAGATCTCATTATTCAAGATAATTCTGAAGATGAGAATTATTTACTAGTGAATGAGCAAGACGGTATGCATTTTGATTTTGTCAAGATGCTGCCCTCGGTTTTAGCTGTTGCATTGCAGTTACTGTCACTGGTGATTGGGGATGCCTGGCCTTTAGGAAGTTACATTTAGGAAGATGAAAAATTAAAGAGACTGCTCACTGAGATGCCTCAAGAAAGATTTCAATTCATGCCATTTTTTGCCCAAATAAATTCTGTAAATCACCCAGGAGAAATGAGTGGTAATCACTGTTTTCCCACAACAATACTTAACAGAAAGAAAACACTGTGATCAAAAAATGAAAGATATAATTTTGCCAGAATCCTAGGCTCATGTAGGTTTACTAATCAAACTGGTAGATATATATCATGCATAATCAAGGAAGTCCAATGAAGGATGGCAAAAAGTTGAAGCATTAATTCCAAGAGGTTTTTCCCATCTGTGTTAATCTATTTGTTTATTTGATTTTTGGCTTCGAGAGTTCCCTTTCTAGGGATATCTTATAGCATATTTTTGAGTATATGCCTCACTATTTCCCAACAGAGTGCTGAATCTCATCTAAAACAAGAGCTTATGCAAAGGGCCAGCCTAAGTTTAAAAACTCTCAAGTGAAGGCTGCACATTGAACACTGCTATCTTCAGATTAATCCTGTCTCATACACAAAATCTAAAAATGGGCATGATTCATTACTAGCTTAAACTATTCTCCTAGGCAGCTTAAGGATGAAGTAAGTCACTCTCCATGTAGATCTCTAGAATGAACAAAACATACCCTGACTTTCTCCTTTGCCTCCGCTGTAGTGGAGCTTACAGTGCCCAACTCAGCCAGACATTTTACTATAGACAATTATAAGAGATCTCCCCTTATAAAAGATAATAACAAGCATTATAATATTTGAAAGGAGTAATATGATTAATACTTAGAAGCACATTCTGTGAAGGCTTTTTACCTTTAGAGTGCTGTAAGCAGAGGAAGGTACCCTAAAGGCTAAAACCATAAATCAGGAAAGGCACTGTAAACATTTTTAAGAAATTTGGGAAATATATTAACGTATGATATAATCTCTGAGAACAAGGATCAAATCCAAAATGAAAACTGGGATCAAGTCATGCTGTTTCTGGAAGAAAAAAAATAAGGCTCTCAGATAGCTTGTCCTAGATATTTACTTTAAAGATAGGAACAGAAAAACAGAGCACATTTCAGGTCACACTGATTAAATTCAAAAACTACATAACACATCAGAGATGATAAGAAGATTCACTACTATTATAAACCATGGTTTTTCAAACTAAGCTTGTTTTTTCGCCAAAGTATCTTGCTGAGTCTTGCATCATTCCATCAGACAAAGAGTGATTCAGGGAAAGACTGCCAACAGCCACTACCAAACAGCTGTCGAGATTGCCCGGGGATCACTTGTACTAGAGCAAAGTTAAAGAACAGCTACTGTGCTGGTGTCTAACTTGGTAAGTATAAAGCTGTAACATTTTGGCAAGTAGAAAAAAAAAAAAAAATAACAAACAGTGAATAGGGCCTACCTCCCAGAGTCCTTTTTTCACCTGCTTGAAGCTTTTATTACTGTCTGCAACTGTATGTTTTGCTGGAAATTTAACTTTTACCTTTCAAGAAATCACAATCAAGAGGTTGAAAACTGAAGATAAGCACAAATGTTATAACCTCTGACCTATATAGCAGTTATTATTTTAGTTGAAAGACTAAAGGAAAAAAAACTTCTATTGTAGCATTGTATTATATATATATATATATATGTTTTTATTTATATATATAAAATTCTAGGCTATTTACGAGTTTAATAACTTTCCCGTGTAATTATTTTTAAATAATAAGTGAAAATTGTCCAGGGTGTATCATATATTTTAAATTAAGTGAAAGGCATATAATGAAACGAGATAAAAGAAACAAGATCATGATATATAGCAGATTTAAAGGAAGCATCTAATGCATGCATAGGATGAGAAGGTCTCTGGACCCAAACAGTCTGGAACTCCTTATAAAAGTATAATAGTGATATACAGGAATGTACTGAGTGAAGTCTGTCCCATGATCTTAATGATCAAGGCATGAAGATTCACTGTTTCCCATAACTGAATCCCTATAGTTTTGCACACTGGTTCTGAGATAATATTATGATTGCTGTGGAGCTTATAGGATGAGCCTGCAGTAACTTTTTCAGTATGCTGATAGTTTAGAGAACAACAGAAACAAGAATATATAATGTAGACATTGATGCGTGGACTTTTGAAGAGGAATGGAACATAAGTAAACATAGTAAAAAGAAACAAACCATATCCTTGTAAACTGACAAAAATGATTTTAAACTAGCCAGGTAATCTGATGGCCATATATATCAATAATTCTGAACATTTAAATGCAAAGGAACATTAAGTCTGAAAACACTAATGCAGAAAAACATTTTATCACATTTTATACTGTCAGTAGTCATTAAGACTGCTTTTAGATGTATAAAGCCATTACATAGCTTATTATTTTCTACAACCATGGGACTTTTCTCTAGAAGAAAAGTGCATTTTTAAACATTAAAATAATGAAGTAAATGGCATAGGCTAAAAAGAATACATGATAGGAAGTATAAACTGAGATGAAGATAGAAAGAAAATCAAGCAGAGCTCAGAAGGCAGAGCAATGTCTCTATCAACTAAGCTAATTTAAACATCCTGTAGGAGGCTTCCTGTGTGAATTCAACATTAAGAAGAAATAAACTCAGAAAGACCAAAGGCTATTACTATTACTGGGAAAAAAAATAACAAGATACACAATGCAGGATGACATTTGAGCCAGTTAAGAATGGCCAAGAGCTCCAAATGCCCAGAAATCTGGTAGCAGCTAGAGGAACACTGAAGATGGCTGAAGCAGAAAAGGGATGTAGAACTAGAAAGATGGAAAAGAATCAACACTAAGGTGGATAAATTTCTGTTCTATAACTGTTTTCATGTGCAGTTCCAATTAAACACATTTGTGTTTAAAATATGAAGTACTCAAGTCTAGTCTAGAATGAAATTCTCAGAATTGTATGTTCACTAGAAGATTAAAAAAAAAAAAAAAGTTAAATAAGAAACAGCAAAAACTATTATTTTGAGCTTCCAGCCATTGCAGACTTCTTCATGTTTTGTATTGGAGCAGATGCATAATTTAAGAACTAAAACAATTCACTCTTCCTTCTCCACAACCTTTCTCCCCACTCTCCCCAGAACAGAAAACCCAAACACATGCTTCACTGTTACAAGCATCATCAGAAAAAAAAAAAAAAAAAAGAAAAAAAAACTTTTAACAAACAAATAAGACATACATTGCTTTTACCACAAACTACTTTTGCTTTTTTCCATACCCTTTCATTCTTCCTTCAATATGCACTGAGATTTTATTCGAAGTTTTGCATATTGTAATTCATTTATGGTTGATTGACATTTTTCAAAAAAATAAGAAAAACACCTATCACATTTGAAGAATATTAAATTGGTCTTCACTTAAGCATTCTTTTTTGTGCTTCACTCTGCTTGAAACTTGTTACTATTTTTCCCCAAACAATTTAATCCCATGCAACATATAAAGGAGATAGATGCAGATGTCATTAGAATGAAAACATTTTAAATAGTTTTCAAGCCCTCATTAAGTTAAACTCTGGAGAAACTGCAAGTAAAACCTATAAACCACTTCAGGGTCTCCTTAGAGGAATTTTTATCTTCTAGGCAAGAAAGTATAACATTTACTGCACAGAGTCCTGTTATACCAAAGGAACAGAGCTCAAACAGTAGCTCTGCAATACAAACAATGGTGACTGCAGTTCAATTTATCTATAAACAAAGAGACTTGGTTAGTACAAAAAAAATTCCTGTAAGTAATTCAGAGAAAATTACAAATAAACACATTGTTTTCACAGTTTAAAGAAAGAATAAGCTTTTTATTCTTTTCTTCTCCAGACTCAAAGACAACACTTCTTAATCAAGCAAACAATTAAAACTTGTTTTTTTAATAACATTCAAAATCATACTATCTGGAATAAACTCCAAATGTGCCATTTCATTTTCCAAAACACATTATTTCACAATTCTTTGGGAATATCAGCCATTATTTTTCAGGATATATGGTCATTTCTATCCAATCCCCAACAATGAACAGGGCATTTAAACTGACAATTCCAAGTGAACATGTAGGCCAGACACAAGCAGAGTCTCTACAAATTCTATTTATGCAGTCATAAATCTTTACATAATATTACATTCTCTTCTATATAAAGAGAAACTTTTTGAATGTGTGGCTCAGCAACAGACTACAGCAGTCTGATGTACATCTGGAAGCTAGATAGTGTGGGATATGCAAAATAAAACAATTATCAAAAATTGATGATCAAGGATCATTTGGTTCCATGGTTCTATTAAAAGTAATGATTTTTAATGCTGAAGTTACTAGAAATAATGACAGCACCCTATAATTTATGCAAATACTAAGGCCAGATAAATGGCTATGGTAGTCATACGAGTTTTCACTAGCAAAAGCAAAGTGCTGCAGAAAGACATTGAAAGGACAGTTTTTGTTTTCTATTTTTAATGTTTAAAATTGCCTCTTGTGATTCCTACAGCCAGATGAGTAGACAGGGTGTAAATAAGGACATATCCTACCTACTGTCACTGTGATTGTGACCCCGAAGGAAATAAAAAAGAAATACAAAACCAATCCTTCCGTAGAAAGAGAATGTGTGTTATCTGAGCTTCATAACAAAAGGGCTTTTGAAGCATGGTTGGGATGCCTGACATACACTCATCACAGTGCTTGTCAAGTCTTATACTCTACACATTTACCTCAGTGCACCTTCCCTAGAGATAAATGGTGATTTTTGCTTCACAGAGGAGAAATTCTTTACCTCAGAGATTTTCTTGTAAGCCTCAGAAGCCTCAAAAGATAGACTGAAAATGTGTTGTTTCTCTGCCATTAGGAATATAGTAGTAAACATATAGGTTAAAACAATAGCAAAGAATTATCACACAAGTAAAAAGACTTCATTATTTTGGGGTTATAACTGTCATTATGAGAGAGCACACGCTTCAAGCTTTCCATTTACTTCAGAAATCATGGAAATTTCATCCTTGAAGAAATGGCTGGCATATAGATGGGCATTTTCTGGACAGGTGGAAAATACTAAGCACGTGCCCTTCTTTGCACAAGCAGCACAAACAGGATTTTTCTATTTAATTTGCTAAACATCAGAAATTCCAGACAAATATTTTATTACAAGCCTAACACATTCAGAGAACCTAAAGCTATTACACACACTTACACATACACATACATACACAACTGTAAATATCACTAATATATAATTTTTACCTTCACATTTTTTATTTAGGTCTTTAGCCATGAAATAAGCATCTCACAGACCTGACAGAGAACTGACCAGAATGTCTCCCAGAGGGTACATCAGGTTTCCAAGGGCCTTTTTTGCCATTCTTGAGTATCTTTGCTCTCAATTTTATCTGAAACCTAAAGTTTGCTCTCTTTCCAGAGAAAGCTCTACACAAATGTTCCCCAAGGGATATTTTCTCCTACTACTGTCAGGCTGGTAGAGTATAGCTCAACTTGAGAAAGAAAGTGTGCCCCTAGACTTGCTGAAATATGGTGAATGCATCGTTACATAGGGATTGTGGGCATTTTCAGTGCAGAGACAGAACAAATCTCATATTTGATTTAATTAAGAATCCAAAAGTACAAGCCTGTGGTGATATTAGATACATATAAAGTCTCTCACAAAATATTTAGCTACTTTTCAAGTAAATAAATCCTGAAGTGGCCATTCCATGACAACAGTCATATTTTGTTTAAGATTCTTAAATTATAATCTTCCACAAGAAATATCATAGGAAAGAATAGATGCATATACCATAAGGGCAAAATAAAAATAATACAAAAATAGATGTCAACATCTAAAACCATATGGTTGAAGTAGCATTCAATAAATTAAAAACAGTTTGAAAGTCTTATGTTGGTAGTATGAAATTTCAGTGATAAAATGTGAACATATCAGTGAAACTTGCAGGACAAGGGGAAATGGTTTTAAGTTGAGGGAGGGAAGATTTAGGTTGGACATCAGGGGGAAGCTCTTTACAGAGAGAGTGGTGAGGTTCTGGAACAGGCTGCCCAGAGAGGCTGTGGATGTCCCATCCCTGGAGGTATTCAAGGCCAGATTGGATGGGGCCCTGGGCAGCCTGGTCTAGCATTAAATGGGGAGGTTGGTGGCCCTGCATGTGGCAGGGGGGTTGGAGAGTCACGATCCTTGAAATCCCTTACAACCCTGGCCATTCTGTGATTCTGTAATCTTAAGTTTCTTCAGCTAAAAAGAAGGAAGGTTCTAGCCAAGTCTTGAAAAATTAACATTAGCTTAAAATGAAAGGAATTATTTTTAATTTTTTTTCTCTCTGTCAGAATGAGAATTTAGGCCATACTTTTTGTTCCCTGGGGAAGTCTTAGAAATGCTTATTGTCCCCATTTACCAAATATAGCCCATAGCAATTTTCTTCTATTGTAATGCACACCTAGTATTGCTCATGTATTCAAACTAGAGTATTTACTTTACTGAAAATCTTTTCAAGAATTGACTGATTAGTATGAGTGTACAGCCTTACTCCGTCTGCAGAATTAGCATATCCAACCCAAATCAATTCTCCTAGTGAGAGCTTTTTTGCTGTTGTTGGGCATACAAAGGACTTGAAAAACAATTCACCATTTGTGAGGGAAAAAAACACACACAAAAAACAAGAAAACAATAACAACGTTCATTTTCATCACACACAGTCTTGTGATTTCATGAAAAAAATTGAATAATACATTAGTCTATTCTTCTCAAAGAAAGAATATATGCTAACAGAGAACACTAAACAAATTCTGATTTCTGCCGTATCCATGCAATCCCGCTGAGTGCACTGAACTGCTGACTGAACAACCATAGACATACAGTTTGGTTCACAGAGAAATTTGTACTGTCTGAGAAATACAACTTTAAATCTCTTGAGGACACTACATCCATTAAAAATTAGGGATTTTAATTTGAACATAGTATGTAAAATAAATGTGAGGTGTGAGAGAGGTAAATAGCTTCCTAAGCCATTCTGCAAATAAATAAAAAAAAAAACCCACCTATTATTTGAAGTTTGCTATAATCAGAGACAGCAAAAAGCGTTACTCAACTTGCTATGACATGCCTATAGGATGACTAATTTTTGGGTGAAACTGCATCTCGAATAAAATCATCACTACTAGAACAGTGTTCCAAATTTTATCTGCTTTTTCTTTTATTTCATATGAATAACTATAATTTCAATTCTTTATTCATACCCTAATAATCTGCATCAACATAACGCAAGACATTACACATTAACACAAACTGTTCAGAGATAATGGAAAATAAATTAATCTCTTGAACGATTAATTCATATTCATACAGATAATAAAAAGGTATAAACTGTAAATTCTATTTCTATTCTGAAACATATATACAAATGTGATATGAGTTTGTCACAGCAATTGCTGCTGCCCTAGACTTATCTTGTCAAAATGCCCTGAAATGCATAGAAAACTCCAGGCAACTGTCAAATGCCCTAGAGCACAGCTATATTCCTCTATTAGTTCTCAGTAAGTGGAATCATTAGTGAAGACAAAGTCTTCATATGCATTTAAAATCAAATTTTAAATAATGAGAAAAAAAATATACAATATCATCATTTCCATAAAAATATCCTTCTGCTTTACTGTGAATTACCTGCCAGATTGCCTATATTTACAAATGTGCAAAGCCAATCTACACACAATGCTACATGATTTTAAGCTTTTCACTGAGGGCTGTTGACAAGTACATTGAGTGTCAAACAGGGGATTCCAAATCAACTTTCTTATCACTCAGTAGCCAAGTAATGACAATAGAATGACAGTGTTTCGAATTACTGAACCACTGGCAACCAGTTCTGTATGTGCATTCTATCGAACTCAATTTTACCATGCTTCCACTACACTGGTCAAGGAAGGAATAAATACCACAGCTAGATGCATAGTGCAGCTCCTTCCAACAATTTAAGGCTTAATATATCATGCACGTAGCCATGTTACCTGACAGCCTTCCAGGGAGGGGAATACAACGCAACACAGTTAACCGCAATATTTTTCATTCAGACATGTGTTTACCTATGTAGATTCATGGCTATCCAATCAAGGAGACGAGGAGGCATCCCGAAAATGACACATCAGCAGGGAGAAGAGAAAGGAGTGGGTCCAGAAAGGAACGGCTTGGATCAGACATGGTGAAACCAAAGGAAGCCTGTGGTCACTAAGTTCAACTTTGCTACTTTTGTACATTTGGGGAAAGCTGCCAGAACAATCTCAGCTGGGAGCAGTGTGCCAGTTCCTGTTCAGTGTTGCCAGATGAAACCTCTTTTTTTTTTTTTTTTCCCCCCCCAACATCATCAGCCTCAGTCAAGCAACTTCCTGCAAGAATACCCAAAGTGGGTTACACACTGCAGGTACAGACTCTGCTCCAGCACCACTGAAAAGTTTTCATGCTGAACAAGCATGCTATAAGTAGAAGCAACCTTTATGAAGTTATTCCTGAGATAAATGCAACAAAACAGACCATCCCTGATGAATATTTATCACAGGGTCAAAAAATACCTGAATTTGACTGAAACACTCTGCACAAAGGTAATAAAAAAAAACTCACAAGCTCATATTAGTACAATGCCATACACAATGCTCATCTTCAGTTGAATTCTGTAACAGCAAGGCAAGGCATAGAATAAGGAATTAAGAAGTATGCACACTCGTGAAACTGGTCAACATGAAGATGTAAAAGCATTAGGGTCATAAGACAAATTATGTTTGCGTGCTTTGGACTTAGCCATTGCACAAAGCCCAGTGGTAGAAAACATCCTCATCTCAAAGCTTAAAAGAAAAAGCTGTCTTATAAACATTCCATTGCACTGCTATATTAAGAATCTGCTACAATCATTCAGAAGTTTCAATAAAGATTTTAATTACAAAAATAAGTTTGGCTAATGAGGACTCTTTTTCATTAAGGCAAAAAGCTCTGTGTGGTTAAGAACCCAATATTTCTTTTCTTGTACTTGATAACTCAGTAGCACAAGTATGTGCACTGAACAACATGCAATAATTAAATCATTCACTGTTCTAGTGAGCACAGAACAGGGCTGAATGTACTGAGTGTAATGCTCTACAGCCAGTAAGTTTAATCAACACAAAATAGTAACATTACTCTAAATTAATCAAAAATCAAGATAATTCAATGCTGCTAGCATTCAATGGTCACCCAATTTTCCATCACTAAGTTTAACATAATAACATGCTATATTTTGAACTGACGTGCCCATGTACTTTAGAAAACACAGCAGTCTAACAAAAAAAAGCAATAATAAATTCTGCTGTCTCATCTCTCTTGTAGTCAGCTGCAATATCATGACAACTTTTGTTCCAGATCCTCAAAGTCAAGAAGAAGCTTTTCTGGGACAGCATGCCCTAATTAAATTTATTTGCCATGGCCCATTTTTAAAGATTCAAATTAAATGTTTTTGAGAGATAAATGACAGTTTTTAAATTCATTTATTATGCAAGAATCATTCTCCATAGACAGTAAATGGAATTTCAGCAAAACCATTGTGACAAGCACTGAAGTATAATTTCTATTTCCCAATATCAGTTATATATTCAAACTGCGTTGCTTCTGAGAGAAAAATATTTCAAATTAAAAAGAGGACTTGGAGGACAAGATACTTCCTTGAGAAGTTACCCAACCTGCATTCTAATCATAATCAGTCAGGAGTGAGCATACACTGTCACTTCTAAAGTAACAGCAGCCATCTTATTGATGACCTACGCTTAACAGTTGTGAGTCTGTTGATGGACTCAACATTATGGTCAAAAAATGGGAATTTAAACGTTACAGAGAGCCATTCAGTTGAGTACTTACATTCCACTGAATTTTTTCTTTTTTTCTTTTTTTTCTTTTTTTTTTTTTTTTTTTTTTTTTTAGGTTTTATCAAAAAACCTGTCACAAAATTATTTCAGCTTTTTGGTAGTTATAGGAAGCCTTAAGATTGAATGATATTATTTTTGAATATCCCTGTAAGATTTTATATCAATTCAGATATATTTTTTTAACTTGCTAAAAAGAGACAACTTGAATGTGAAAGTAAGCAGAATTTTTGTCTAAGAAGTGTTACAATCTTAAAAATGATACTAGTAATATGGTAAAATAAATTTTATACTCAAATATGTATTTCAGGAAGAAACATGCACCACTTAAATGATTTATGTAATATGAAATTAGGTACTAGAGACAGTGAAAACAACTGTAAAAATGAGACTAAAAATAAAACCTTTGAATGACATGAACGTGTCATAACATGCTCTCTCTTGTATAGAATAATTCAACCACTCATTAATATCCACAGTCATGTGTGATTCTTAACAACTTTTATTTCTGTACTCTTCCTAGGAAGAAACTAGGACACTTGCCTTACAACTATCTTCAGTAGAGAAGATCCCAGCCAAGTTCACGTTTCCAGGTAATGAAACAATTGTTAAAGCTGACTGCTTTCAAATTATTACAGACTTGCATTTTAATGTTCCTTCTTTAAAAATTGATTGAATTTATTTTTGTGTGTAGCCCTCCAAGTTACAATTCAACACACAACTAAGGGTTAACAGAGCTCTTGGAAACTTTTACAGATGGTTATCAAACACCTTGTACAGGCTTTTAATCTGGTTTGTTGTTATTTGTTAAGGAAAGAAACCTCACACATCCCAAGAGCTGACCAATGAAACACACCTTTGAAGACTCTGGCTCAACATCAGCTTGTCATTTACACCTCAGAGATAAAGACCTTCTGTTTCCAAAGTACAAAGCCCAAAACCCTCCAAGCAGTTCCACCAGGGGTCCAGAGTCATCTCAACAGGAGATCATTTTTCTACAGAGCACAAGGAGAATTCCTTCCCAACACCTAACCTAAAAATCCCCTCTTTCAGTTTGAATCCATTCCACCTTGCCCTATCTACCTGTGTAAAAAGTCAGTCCCCCTCCAGCTTGTAAGCTCCTTTCAAACATTGAAAAAAATTGCAATGAGCTCTTCCCAAAGCCTTCCCTTCCCCAGTTTAAACAATCCCAAATCCCTCAACCTCTCATCACAGGAGAGGTGCTGCAGCCCTCTGATCATTTTTGTGGCACTCCTCTAATCTGCTCCAACTGCTCTGCATCTATCGTGTACTTGGGGCCCCAAGCCTGGACACTACATACTCTACTGTCTACCAGAGCTCCATTTACTAACACAGTTAGATTTGAAAAATAAGTAAATTATAGATCAGTTTGCAGATAATTAAAATAAATAAATAATAAATCTTTTAGGATCAAGCTTCATTAGACAAAATAAACAGTAACTGTTAAGTATGGCTGATAATATCCTTGATGGTATGATATTGAAATTTCTTTTCAGAAATTCACAAGCTACACTGATATTTGTTATTATACTGAAAGGAACGCCTAAGTTACCTACCAATAAGTTCAGAGTTAAAAACTTGCTGCCCTTTGATGTTATTTTCAAGACTAAAAGACAGAAATGTCCAGAAGATATTTCTCCAATTTGTTAAGGAAGTAGAATAACACATTAGTATTTCACAGTGACAATGACATTTATTTAAGGAAAAAAAAAGTTCATTATAAAATATGATTTCAGTACCAAAAGGAGACACAAAAGAAAGATGGAAAGAAGAATTGTTTATCAGTGTTGTGATTGGACTACAGGTAATGACTTTAAAAGAGAGTGGAGTTAAATTAGATATAAGGAAGAAATCCTTCACTATGAGGGTGGTAAAGAACAGGTTTCCTAGAGAAGTTGTGGGTGTCCCATCTCTGGAAGAGTTCAGTGCTAGGTTTGGTGGTGCTTTGGCAACCTGCTGTAATGGAAGGTGCCCCTGGTCATGACAGAGGACTTCGAATTACGAAGTAGATAGATGATCCATAAGGTTCCTTCCAACCCAATTCATTCTATCAAGTATTCTTTTTACGTCTCCAGAACCAGAAAACATGCACTATAAATCATTAAAAGAATACCAAAAGAACTCCTCCTAAAGCCTTGAACATTGCCTTAAAGTTCTCAAAGATTACAATATAACGAAAAAGGAGAGAAGGAAAAAAAAAATAATAATAAAAGCAGCTGACAGCTTATAAAAACAAACAAGCAAACAAGATGACCCACAGAGTTTTATTGAGTGTGACTCTGATTTCCACAAGTGGAAAGCTCAATAATAAAGCCCAACTTGCCATGTTGGAATCATGTCAATTTAATTTAGATTAAAAAAAATAAAAATACAGCCTTACAAATCTAACCTCTCCTATTCTTCTTCCTATCAAACACAAATAACTGGTTATTTGTATTAATCTTTCGGTGTGAACTTGTTCAATTAACATACATTTTAGTTATTAAGTTATCACTGAGTATAAAATATCAGGAGAATATTCCTCAAGAAGAAAAATATCCACATAACTTCACTTTGGAACTAAACCACCATCTCTTTATGATGAATACAAAGTATTGGTCTTCTCCAAGACATACAAGGAACAGATTCCAGAGCAATGAACTTGAAAACAGACCTGGAAGGAGACTGGGGGCTACATGGCTGCTGTCAACACTTAGCATATAATTTGAAAGAACCCATAGTTTTCTTGGTGGAGCTCTCAATCTCATTCTGAATCTAGTTAAAAGCACTGGATATAATGGAGCTGGATGCAGACAGATAAGCATTTTTTATTATTATTCCTATATTTGCATAACCATAACCAAACACTATGACTGGGCCTATCTTCATAGATAACTTTAAGGGCTCAACAACATCTGTATATTTATAAAGATTAATCAATCATTTTCATATATTAACTTCATCTACTCCATGGTTCCCACTACAAAAGGCCAAGAGTCCTTATACATGTATGAAACGTGATTTCATACATCAAAATCACTAACTGCAGGTGCAGAAGAGTCAAAGATCTGAGATTTTTAGAAGTTTTAGGATTTAGAATTATTTAAGTTGGTGAGAGATGGTTTTGAAGGATGGAAAACTTAGTAGATAAGGAATTTAATGGATGGCCTCATCCAGAGAGTAGTTGATGGTTCTTTCTCCAGGTGGAGGCTAGTGTTGAGTGGTGTCCCCCAGGGGTCAGTCTCTTCAACATCTTTACTTTGTAATGAGAAGGAGGAGCACCAAGGTGAGGGCTGGGGGTTAGAACTGGCCTTAAGATCCCTTTCAGTTTAAGCCATTTGATGATTCGAAGTGATGAGAGCAGCCTAATTCCTGAATGATCTCATTTATGTAATGTAGCAGATTTACTGTGGAGCTAAACCATTTTCAAAACAGTTTATTTTCATTTGCTCTTTTCTTAGCACCACAGCATGAATGTGTGCAGCTAACGCTCTGTGACAGATTTAGCTTGTTGCAAATTACTCTGAGATTTCATGGCATGCTTCTCCTGTGATTTTAAAGCAAATTAAACTGATTTAATCCTGGAGAAAAAAAAAAAAAAAAAAAAAAAAAAATTAAGGACAGCAGCACTGACAGGACTCCCAGTCCATCACAGTCCATGCCAGCAGGCCAAGATGCAAGGCACGGTACTGCAGGGTGGAGGAAGAATGGAGTCAGCTACCCACATACTTGAGATCTGAGGCACAGAGAGCCAATTAAATGTCACTGAGATCATACCACAGGGATCTGAGGGGCAAAAAAGCACCAAAAATCAAGAGGTATGATGAAAAACAACCAAGAAAACATTTTTTCACAGCAAGGTTCTTGGCTTGGTTAATGAGTCTGAAGAGGGATCTGCAATGCAACACTGGCTTCTTCGAGATTCCAGGCATGGATTGACTTGGCAAACTTGACACACAGTACTTAACTTGAAATCAGACAATCACATGAGATAACAAAATTTCAGAAGAGAATTAATTTTTAGTTCTTCTTACCCTATTTTGTATTCAAGCTGGAGGGAAACGTACCAAGAACAGCCTACAGATGGAAAATAGCTCAGGTCTCATTTAGAGTTTAACAAGCACTCAGCACTTTCTGTACAACTTCTGGTTGGATTAAAGCAAAGGCAGGATGTTAATCTCATTCACAAAGTGCCACAAGGGACTTTTAAAGATATGCCACATTACACCTTCAAGCAACATGTTCATTTTTTACAAGTCTGAAACCAGCAAGAGTACAAGCCTATTTCTGTGGAGTTAATAAAAATGCAGTAAAATTACCACCATTCTTTTCCAGAAAAAAGAAGTTAAATTCTCCCCTCACAACCTCAGTTCAATGTGATTTAATAAATACTGGGATTATTTACCATAGTTTTATCTTCTAATTATCTCTCACATGAGAAATGCTCAAAGACTCTTATTTCTCCATCTTCATTATTTTATTTTCATACCAACTGGGAAAAACTATTTGCACACAAACAGGATTCCCAGACTAGCAAAGCAGCAAAAGCTCACCTGAACTTCTCTGCTTTTCCCCATAATTCAGATAAGAAGCTACGGGGAAAATAGTGCTCATGACAACAGTGCAGCATTTCTGGTTCAGTCTTGGCTCCTTCTGCAGCCAACAATAGAAATGCCAACAACAGCTTCAGCCCCACAGATGTTTGGCTTTCTATTTGCCTATAAGAGCTTTTGGACCTGTGCTGCCCTGACAAAAGCTGGTTAACAGAAATCACACCAGGAAGCACAAGTGTTTTTGCTGGTAGAAAATATAAAATCAAGTATAGATAACATGCATACGTATTTCCACTGTTACTAAAACTCTTCAGACTGTCTTGACAGTATTATTTTTATTGGAACTCTATAAGAAAAAAAACACACCCAGTAAATGGGACTATTTCTGGAAATATGCAAACATTTGGTTTCTCTCCTACGAAGCAGCAACTTTTCTCAGTATGAAACAAAGTAGTTACTTAAACAAGCCTAACCAATGCTTTGCAGTTCATTCTTTTTAAAATCAAAGGCAGATGCGCTCTAGTTCAAATTAATTATCATCAATACTGCAAAAAGTAGCCATAGTAAATGAAAACAGAGTATCAACAAGCACATAGATCCCCCAGAAATAACAGTAACAATAAATAAACCACCTAGTTCTCATCTCCAAGGGCTTGCAGCTGGAAGCACTGCAGTGCAGGGCTGAGTAACACTGGCTTGATCTCATGTCTCTCATCAGCTCCAACTATGTTGTGAAAGAAAAGTGACATTCAGATTTCAACACATTTTTAAAACTCTTCTAGCTTACATAAATACAGAGGGCATTGTTCTCCTTTTATTGTATTTATTCTGTTTACATGTCCTCTCAGCTGAAAAGAATTGCTTCAAGACTTTCTTGCTTATTTGGAAAGTCCAGCATTCCTTAAATCTGTTGTTCAAATCCTTTCCTCAAGTGTACTCAGCACACAGAGGCTCTTTGTTGCACTTGACTGCTTAAAAAAAAAAAAAAAAAAAAAAAACACCCAAGAAGCAAGAATGTCCTAACTCACCAAGGGCAAACAGCCATATTTTAATATTGCTTATAAATTCAAGCTTGGAAGGACACCAAAAGACACAACCATCAATGGTACCACCGTACGAAACATGGATGCATCCTCTGAATATTTGAACACATGAAAAATAGCAGTGTTAATATTGCATACACACAATAAGGCAGATCCCTCAAACAGAGCACGCACCTGCTAGACAAAATATTGCAATTACAACACTCGATAGCCCACAAACAATTTTTACCCAGGCCTAATGTTCACCCTCACTAAAAGCCCTCTGCTGCCATCAAGTCCCTCCTGCTTTGGTTCATTAAACTAGGACAGGAATGACAAAGAAAGCTTCCTCTGCCCCCCGCTGAGGAATCACAAAGGGAGCACTCAGCTTCCTGTGGATCATGCCAAAACCTTCACTGATACAGCACAGCTTAGGAACAAAACATTTCAGCGGCACCGCTTACACCTCTGATGAATACACACACATTCTCAATCTGCAGTTCTCACATCACTGAGAGGTATCTCAAGAATGATGAGAAAAAACATGTTAATTATTTCTTTGGGAGAGTGCCCAGAACCAGGGTCAAAGGCAAAGATACGAATTCTACCGAGTTGGGCAGAATATTATATTTTCCTTTTTGCAACTTCTGTTGCAAGACTTCAAAATTATACTTCATCAGGAAAGATTGCTCCATCCTGATGAAGTAGGGATTAAAATTGCAGTCAGAGTTTAAACTTCCTAGAAGTAAACATATTCCAGAGCCCAAGAAAGTCTCTGTCTCTAGGTAAAGAAGCTGCTCTGCATATCTTGTTCAGGTGGAATAGGACTATTAAAAATTACTTTTGATGCCAACTGCTATTTTGAAGCATCTCAGTATGAACCACAGATTCTGTGACAGCAGGATGAACTCTTCTACCATTCTGTCGCAGTTTTGAAAAGAACAGCTACAAAATTAGATCAGAAAGATCCAATCTAATGGATTAAACAGGATAAAAGTTGGTAACAAAGCTAATACCAAATATGACTATGCTGCTTTAGTAATGCTAAGACCGAAAATAGAAGAATGTGAATTCACGTGTATGTGTGTGTACACATCTGTATACACACATACATGTGTGTAAAATGGTACTATATTCATGGAAAAATAAATGGACTATTAATAGAGCTCAATTACATATATGTTATAATAGAAGAAAGAAAATGATGAAAATACCATATGGAAGCATAAGTATGTACATCCACATTATATATTTATAGAACACATATTCTATATGCACATAGCTACAGTTTTAAGGAATTAATACATGAATGAAGGAAAGCTAAATGTTCAAAAAATATGCCTTAGAACTTCTATACATTTAATAGAATACAGTGTAGTATTGTGCTGAATTTTTAATCACCTATCAGCACGCTGAAAATAAAAATATCAGAGGTTATATAGTGAATTAAAAAAAAAAAGTATCTTCATCATGGATAAGAGATGCATAAAGAGAGCCAAGAACAGAGGTCCATTGAATTCCACAAAATTGTTAAGTGTTTTTGTCACAACATTCTCTGAAGGTCAAATGCAAAAGAGGAGGATTACAAATATTGGTAAAGCATAAGTCATTAAGCATGATGATCAAGCAGAAATCTATTCTTAGAGAAGACAAAACTGCTGACTATTAGAAGCCAGTAGTCTCCTCCAAACAAGAGGACCCATGGTGATACCACTGTTTCTTACATTCATTCTTAAGAATCAATTTTTTGCCAGTGTCACAAAGTTTCAGAAAACTTCCATCTGCTCCTCTAGAAATACTCTTACAATTTCTTTTCTATACCCCAACATTTCTAAGAGGAAAAATTTTTAGATTTTACATTTTATTAACTTCAGTATAATCAAGATTTTTTTTTTTTATATTAGCAACAAATAAAAAAAAATGAAATCTAGCCAATGGACAACATTAAACATATTAAAAACTCCTTTATACTGAATGCATATTCATTTCTTGAAATTTTCAGGGTATCAAGAGTTGAAGGAAACCCCTTTGCAATGTACCGAGAACTGCAAAAAGTTACCTGTCCAGTAAGTGATTTAGAAGTCATTAAAGTGGTTACCAAACTGCTCAAAGTAAAATAAAATAGTTCCCATTTTCTGGTCTGACCCTTATTATTTCCTATACTGTAAAAACTAGAAAATATCTCTGTAGTCTTAAAAAAAAAATTTTAAAGTCTTCAAACATCAGATGAATCCCTGCAGAAGCATTAGCACTAAGATCCAAATTGAGCTCCTTTTCTTAAAGCATGAAATGAAGTTTTTTGTCTTCTAAGTGACTTTCAGGAGGAAAGGTTTTTTCAATTGTACTGAGGATGTCAAAGAATATACCTTCAGTTACCCAGCATGGTATTTATCAGGACCTGGTCACATTGCACTTTTTCAGATATGCTGAGCTGCATCCTAACTCCTTCCACTTATTTACATCCTTCAGTGTCCAAGTCCAAATTTAAATACGGAAAGTATATAAGCCACTTTGTTAAAAGAACACTGACAATATGGAAGGTGAAAAGCATGTTTCATACCTTGAAAACAGGCAATTCCCTCTCTAACTGTGGCCTATTATTTTCTACTGGAGAATTGCTTTTTCAAAAATGATAACCAATGACTGTTAGCTTAAAAACTGTCTTTTAAATTATTTCTAACATCTTTCTGAATTATTAATTTATTTTGGAAGTCTGTTAAGACAAGGCCCTATGACAAGACTGGTCAAATATTTGTTTTAGCTGCAACCTCAAGTAGAATTTGTTCCAAACAGTTGATGAAGCCTAGAAGCAGAAACTCAGTTTTACTTTGCACTGTAAACCTCTTTCACAGGAATTTTCTTCTCATTAGCATACTTTCCACTTTCATTTCTGAGAGAATACGTTTCTTTGTTTAGGAGCAACAAGCAAGCAGAGATGGCAAAAGTTAAATAAAAATCACAAAAGCTAAGCAACAGATGGATTCTAATCATACCATCTGAATAACTTGATCTTACTTTTACATGATTACAGTAAGTGCTGTTTGTCTTCGTTGTCTGTACTTTCTATTTAGCAAAAATCGGAATAAAAAGTAATTGAAAAAAGCCTCTGTTTCATCAGTAGCACTTTCATACATTCATTCAGACAAAAGTCACTGTATTCAAGTGGGAGATTTTTAATGCCAGTTTCTCCACAAGTAATTCTTCTCCTTTCATAAAACAGATTCACAATATAAAGTCGTTTGTAGCACAATTATGTATAATGCTTGCTCTTTTTAGCCAAATACGGTTATTTCCAGTGATTTGGCAAGTTAACCAGGCTGCTGGATCAATAAAATTGCTATTTGCATGTCAAAGAACTAAGAGGCTTTCCTGAAGCCACAATTGGCTTCTTCACCAAATCAGACTCCCACAATAATAATAATAATAATAATAATAATGATAATAATAATAATAATAATAAAAATCTGTATCACAGTACCATTAAACTTTTCTAAACAAAAACAAAACCATATTTGTCATAGGTCAAAAATCACAGACCACTGGAAGAGGCTTGCCTAGAAAGCACTGCAATTTAAAAGATACAGTCTAAAAAGTACATAAAAGTGGTCCAAGAGGACTCGGTCTAATCAAAGTCTTTCCATACTCTTTAGTGTCAGTGGTATCATACCTTCAGTTTTTGTTCTCACCCATTTTCCTCATTTATGTGGACCATGCACATGTTTACAGGAAGCTTGTGAAGTCTAACTGGATCAACATGTAAAACCTTGGATTACAACAAAATACTGGTGTCAGCTTGTGCCAAAAAATCGAGAGTAGTACTCTCTCATTTGGATCGCTGGATGTTCTAATATATGACAAAGACTGAGGATATGCCATCCTTTTATATAGTGGGCTTAGAAAGGTAAGAGTTATTGGGATGTACAAGATGATCAGGAAAGAGCTGGAGAAACTTGGAAGGAAAGCAACGAAGTACATCGGCAAAACAGAAGTTACAGAAACTAAGGGCAAGTATTTCTTCTCCTTTCATTAACTTTTTCTGTATTCAGGGGATAGAAAATTGGAAAAGTAGCACTACATTAGCAGTTATAGAAGCAACACACCAAGCTGCATTACCAACAGGCCTCACAGAAGTCACACTTACTACAGTAAAATCCTCATTTTTTCCTAAGTGCTTATGAGCTTAAATTTCCCTAAAATATTCAGACTTAATGTCAGACAAATTTAGTATTATCTGACAAATACCTAACACTGTAAGAGATCACAAACCAGATCTGCCTGTTTTCTCTCTGAACTGCAGCCTACTAACATATTTGGAGGCAGACTTCAAGCAAACTGCTATGGGAGGAGACTTGAGACACTAGTTAAAGCAGCAGTGCTTTATGACAGAGTATTAGTCATATAATGATATGTAGTTTTTAAAAGCAAAAGATGGATTTACTTCAAAAGCATTCAATTCTATTACTGAAAGGCAACCAAGCATTTAAACCTATTTGCAAATAATTTTCAGACATACAACACACTCTTTTTGGATATGCACTTAACTAAATGCAATTTAAGCCTCCTCTGCTGCTCTTATGTAAATATAAATTATAATTAATTCCATTTAGTAATAAGACTATTGAAGAAATAAAATGCATATTTTATATATGCACTGTTTGAATGAAATGAAATCAGTGGCCAAAGACACACA